TCTCACTTAGTACTAGAATCATGACTGAATACTTTAACGCTATATACAGCTGTTTTGTCAGCATCGATTTACTGTCAATATGAGGATATCGGCGTATAACCAGCTGTTCGTGTGTGCGGCCGTATTGCTTGTCTGATTGATTGGCTAGGATGATGTCATTTACTTCTAGAGTTTTTCAGACAGATTTTGTAAACTGTGCTTGATCGAACTAACAAGTCCGTGTGGTTTTTTTTGCTGTGTATTTTTTTATGTCATTACAGATATCCACTGTTATCAAAGATGAAAAGGCCAGATTAAGGCACTCATTATATGTGATCATCCTACCCTGTGATCATGCGCATCCTCGCGTCTTCAAAATGAGAGATTGTTATGTTTGAAAACGAGATAAAACCGTATTTAATGCTGCTGCTTCTATACACATTACTGACACATTAACCTGTCATTATGTGTTTTCATACAACCAGACTAGGCAAGGGCAGCTGGTGTGTTACAGTCATGTATCGTTTATGTCTCTGGCTTGCGGTGTCAACTGATATAACGATTTGATATGACCTTCGAGATCAGTTCGTTTTAGCCAAAGTTGTTATTTATACCAACTGGCATTATGGCTACGTTAGAGTCAAGTGTTCCTATGTGCGACTTCGTGATATCCGGATATGACTCAGGGGCGGATATAGCTTTTTGAGAAAGGGGTGTGTGTGTGTGTGCACACTTCACATGCACCCGTTTTCACGGGTCATTGAATAAACTTAATTTTCGGTATCAGCTTCGGTTAAGTGAGTTTTGATATTCTGTGTCCACGTACTGGTTTAATGCCATACAGGGCAATTGTCAGTTAATGTTGGCACCATTTCATACATACTCAAATACCTTATTGTATTGTTTAATCATGATGTGCAAAAGTTGATCATTATAGACATTATATAATTATCATAATGATTATTATAATACTCAATTTATTAATTGTAAGGAACTGAACAATGGCGTCACGTGATTAGATACTGTTACAAGTTATGTAGTTTTCTGAGATTTCAAGCTATAACTCCAACCAAACAGCCCCTCTTTGTTCAGCAGTTCAGTCCGCTGGTCGAGCATTCACAAAGCTGTTAAAGATGGTGCCTGTTGCTACTCCTTCCTCTCTCCCTCTCTGTCTGTCTCTCTCTCTCTCTCTCTCTCTCTCTCTCTCTCTCTCTCTCTCTCTCTCTCTCTCTCTCTCTCTCTCTCGGGGCGGTGGGGTAGCCTAGTGGTTAAAGCGTTGGCTCGTCACGCCGAAGACCCGGGTTCGATTCCCCACATGGGCAAAATGTGTTAAGCCCATTTCTGGTGTCCCCCGCCGTGATATTGCTGGAATATTGCTAAAAGCGGCGTAAAACTAAACTCAGTCAGTCTCTCTCTCTCTCTCTCTCTCTCTCTCTCTCTCTCTCTCTCTCTCTCTCTCTCTCTCTCTCTCTCTCTCTCTCTCTGCCTGTATGTGTGCGTCTCTCTCTCTCTCACACACACACTCTCTCTCTTTCTCTCTCTCTCACTCTCTCGCCCAATTTATCTTCTTGTTAGACGCTTTAAGTGTATATTGTGGAAACGAGACTGCATTTCAGCAACAAACACAAAACATCATGACAATTAAAGAACTAGGTTAAGGAATCAATATGTACAGGCCTAACAAATCTATCAAAATGAAAAATTGTATAATTGTTAAGTCACGTTTTGAAATTAAAAATTACCCAATTATTTTGCCCAATTGTAGTTTATTAAATTCAATACCCCTATAATAAAAGGCAATCCGCCCTATTATATTGAAATTAGTTCCGCAACTGTCAGCCTTGTGTCGTGAAAAAATGCTTGGTTTTGTAGGACATGTACTATTGTGACCTGCATAATCATAATGTGCCATAGTCACATCTCAAGTACATTATGGTCTCTCGCGAGTCCCGTTAATGTGTGGTATTATCATGCATGTCGTACGAACAGCCTTAGATCAATAAACATTCTGTGTCAAGTCATTTGTACAAAATGCATTGTGCTTACTCGACTGAAAATATTACACATATTATGAAGGATGAATAATTGAAGTCTTTGTATTTGGACAGATTCTAACATTCTAATTCCTGGCACAACAGGATTCATATTTGACTCATCTCACGTTTATACTATGATTTTGCATTGTTTTCCGTCACACAGTATACCCATTCCAGACCCTGTTTTTGTTTGAGGGGCGGTGTTGTAGCCCTGTGGTTAAGGCGTTCGCTCGGTACAATGTGTACAATGTGTGAAGCTCATTTCTGGTGTCCCCCACCGTGATATTGCTGGAATATTGCAAAGAAACGGCGGTAAACTCACGCAGTTGTGTTTGAATCTACGTGAGTTTACCTATCGATATTCAACTCCCCAGTAAAGTGGAAGATGCTGGCAAATGTTGGCATCAGTGACAAATAGGACTTCTGATGCAGTTCTCTATGTCGACTTGTACTATTTTATGTTCTCATGTTTTTTGTGGGTTTTGTTTGTTTTTTGTTACCAACTGACCTTTTCATTTATTTGTCAGCGTCAGGCAACAAGATAACACTTCATATGGTATGTACCGTGTCTGTGGCTGGTGCTACCGTTAGGGTAGGGCATTTCTACCATTTTCCTGAACACCTGGTGTCAACACTGGCTTACAGTGAACCATTTATATAGCCGTCTCTTATAGTTTGTCCTGTGCACCCAATGTAGTCTGCAGATAAAAAAGGCTCATTATTTTCACGCCTTGGCGTTCAGCGTTAACCTGTTAATGGGGAGGCACTGGATTCACTGTGGTTGTGCATTCCCGTTGATGTTTATAGGTTACAGTTAAAACCAAATCGTAAGACATGATTAGATCCCAATGAAGAACTTTCAAACTAAATTCTTTATCCCTGGAAGAGTACAAGGCTAGCAGGGTAAAGAAGAGTGAATTGTGTTCAAAGTTGTACTGAGTGCAGCAACATTTCTGTCTCCGTGACAAGTTCCTAGTATGAAAGGAATACTTATTAACACAAAAGAGCACAGCACAGGACCAAATTAGGAAGATATTTGCTTGTAAGTATTTTACATGGCGCAAAGGTGTTTAACACTTATTGCAAAGAAGCGATCATAGATTTAATTCTGTGAACCATTCATTAGGTTTTTCCTCTATTATTTGCTTTCGCTTAGACAGTTGGCTCTTAAGCACAGCTGTTGAAGCATATCGATTGTGTGTTCATACACTGGCCCACGATGCTTAAGTGCATTTATGCATCACTCCATAAATCTGTAGCCGAAGTCAGCATTTATCCAGCAATAAGACAGCGGACTACAAACAGTGGCGTCTGGACCAGCCAAACCAGTGATCAATATAATGGGCAACAATCTATTATTGAAATCACCATGTCAACTGATCGATTACATCTATGACAGGCATAGGTCGTTGGGCCCTATTCCTAATCGGATTTCCCTGGCTGGATTCCGGTAATTAATTTACAGTCAGTTATTTTTTTGCTATAAGATTCACAAAAATGTACTTTAAAAAGATTTTGTTCTGAATCAGCTATTGCAAGTTCTATGGAAGCACGCGATAGATGCGGAATATTATTTCAGCTACTGTAGTGTCAAAAGACAGACTGAGGTATTCAAGTACAGTAGTTTGTTTAGTTCACGATAACGCATTGGAACAGGCTCATCGCATCTGTTGCTTGAGAGGTGACTACTAGAGGCAAGAACTAGTGGGTGGGCTTGGTGATACGGCTGATGGCGGATGGCGTGTCATCGTTTCCCGGTATTGGACGTAACTCATGACAAAACTATTTCTTGCTGTGTTGATTTGTTTATTGTGCGCGGCAATATTCCAGCTACGGGTATATGGCAGTATCATATTACTCTGATATATAATATATATTATTTGCTGATATTGATTTTTGTTGTCAAACCAGGAATATAGATGCCCATAATCTGATAATCTTATCATAAAATATTTACTCATGATCCGCATTGAGTTCCACTCCCGGCATCCGTTGTATCAGAGTATCCATGCCTATATATAGCCCAGGCCATATCGCAGATTCCGATAGGGATACTAACCTATCAAATAAGCGAACAAATCAATATCTTGTGAAACTGGACTATTACTAAGTGTGGCATTAAACAATTAAACGAACAAAACAGATAATCCAATGGACGCAGTAGCAGTAGTAGTAGCAGTAACAGAAGAAGCTGTTGATGTAGTAGCTGAGCAACTTACTTAGTTCGAAGTCAGGTGTTTTATATAGTATTATGTTAATTATCATAAGTATAACAGGTGAGACCATTCGAATTTCGAGTATGAATACAGGTGCCAAGAAACATATGCTTGTCTTAAGAGGAGACGAAATTGAAGGGGTGGTCAGGCTCTGTGAATTTTTCTTCATGATGGAATACCATCGTATATCAATTGCATGTTTGAATGCTAATGATGTCAGTCATTTGTTGGTCTGGTCACATTGCTGCCTTAAACAACAAACAGCAAGACAAATAAACACAATTGTGTAAGGGCAAGGCTTTTTTTATGGATGTGAACTTCTTGATTGTGTGTGTCCATCAAAATAAAGAAGTTGAATTCATAAAAAGTCTTGCCTTGATGTGTATCACTGCTAAATGCCATTCAAAGACTTGTGAGTGAGTGAGTGAGTGAGTGAGTGAGTGAGTGAGTGAGTGTATTTTTACGCCGCACTCAGCAATATTCCAGCTATATGGCGGCGGTCTGAAAATAATCGAGTCTGGGCCAGACAATCCAGTGATCAACAGCATGAGCATCGATCTGCGCAATTGGGAACCGATGACATGTGTCCACCAGGTCAGCGAGGCTGACCACCCGATCCCGTTAGTCGCCTCTTACGACAAAGCATGGGTTACTGAAGGCCAATACCCTAACGCGGACCTTCACGGGTCCAAAGACTTGTGACGAGGCTACACCATTGTGATAAGGGTACACCACTGTGATAAGACGAATATTTGTGTTTACATTTCAGTGTTTTGACGACAACAACCAACTGTATCAGACTGGCGTGAGGTGGCCTGCACGGACACCCAGCACTGACCAGCCCATCCATGGGGAAGTCTTCCTCCAGATCAGAGAGGCCAACAAAGAAGCAGACGACACTAGGGACTTTGTGTGTCGGGTCACCGACATTTTCTGCAATTCCCGTGAGCAGTGTTTCCAATAATGTAGCTATATGACGGCAGTCTGTAAGTAATGGAATCTAGATGTGACAATCCAATGATCGATATCATGAGCGCCAATCTGTGTCGTCGGGATAAGATGGCACTTGACCACCTGGTTCATAAAGTCGAAATGCATGACCAAAATACGTTCCTTTCCAACCAGAAACCATCAGCTGAGCCTGCAACACATCCACTGTTCATGTTAAAATTGAGATAGCTGGGCTGTGTAACTACTTTTTGAGCCGCCGACATATAGCTGGAATATTGCTGAGTGCGGCGTAAAACTATACTCACTCACTGACTACTTTATGAGGTTGGGATAGGGTTCCTTCTATATTAAGTCAACACACCGTGATATATCCGCAATACCGCACTCCCTTCAGTTGTTGGCGATCTATAGCCACTTTTTTTATTGTATTGTCCAAATAGTGCTATTAGTTTTAATTTAGGTTTTTATAATATACATCTATTCCATTTCAATGTCACATATGTTCTCGTCACGATATGGCTGAAATATTGCCGATGTGACGTTAAATAATAACTCACTCACTCACTCACTCAATACCGCACTCACGTTGCGTTGTGGTCACGTGTTACAGTTTGGAATATTTTGAATTACCATGTTTCTAAAGTTCACGTATGCTATACATTATTCACTTAAATGTGTACGAGGAATGAGAGTAGGAGTCACCATCACCTTGTGGTACCTGGTTGGCATTTTGACGCATGTTAGAAGTTTTGTGTCGGTATGTTTTATTCATAACTGGTATAAGGTCATATCTGATTGCTCACAAAAAGAACTACAAATGGTTTCATATACTTAAAAAGTACTGATTTAATCATAATGACAAAGAATGATCGCTACTCTCTCTCCATCAGGATGATTCGACGACCAATATCAGCAATACTGTCATTGTAATCCTTTACAAAATGATATATTTGAAACCCCGGAAAGACACACACGACATAATGGAACAAATGGACCCTTCCACAACTAAGGGACGCAACTCAAAAGCGCATTGCGGCGTCTTGAAACCAGGCTCTAACCATACCACTGCAGCGTTAAAGGAACGTTTGTTACCAATGTCTACAGTAAATTATTTCCTATAATGCAATATTCCTTTAAAAGTATGCTGATGTCAAGTTTCTTTTTTGTTTCAGTATTTTTTACCGTGCTCATTGTGGTGCTGTTGATCATACCAACTGCTATGGTATCCGCTGGGGTCAAATACCTCAGCGACTGTCCAGTACAACCGAAGATTCCAGTGTATCTCATGGTGGGAGGATGCTTTGGCATCCTCAAGCTAGTTGGCATGTGGTGGAGAAACGTTCAGATACGACGCTACGAAAGCATGGACGCATTCTATGACGCCCACGATCATGATGCCGCTTTTGCGTCACACACTTTCAAACTGATGGACGCCATGCTGTCAGCATTCCTGCTGGGATGGCAAATCACTGGAACGTACTGGGTGTTCACGATCTATGAACCCAATTACAAGCCTCTTCTTCATGAGCCGAGCAACTGGTGCGAGAAGACGGTGTTTATGATTGCGTTCATTCAGATTCTCGGATGTTACGGTCTTTTGTGCCTTGGAATTCTTGTGCTGCTTCTGGTAGCAGGGTGTTATAAGTACACGGATATATTTGATAAGTGAGATCTTCTAATTTCTACTGTGCATAGAAGGTATACATGAGATTATACCATGTACTCATGCTTGCCAAAACAGTATATTTATCAATGTGATGTGTTACTTTTTGTACCAATTGTTCATGATGTTATATTAATATTTTTATATGTATTTGCATATGAATGTGCAAAGTATACCCGCTTAAAATGATGGTAATTTTATAAGGCAAAGGGGATTGGGAGTTTCACATATAGATAACAAAAACAACAGGTATATTGATGATATATTTCCTCAACGTCACAATCACTATCATCATAATAATATTCATTTGACTTCGTCTCAAGCGTTATGTTAATTAACAAGCGTTCCTAATTATGTTAAACACTATCAGTATTCATTGTTTAATCTACGCTGAAAATAATGTTAATTTTATAAGGTAAAGGGGGTTGGGTATTTCACATATAGAAAACTTGTATGTAACAAAAACAACAGTTTTATTGATGATAGTTTTCTCATCGTCACAACCACTATCATCATAATCATATTAATTTGTCTTCTTTCAAGCGCTATGTTAATTAACAACCGTTCTTATTCATGTTGGACAGTATCAGTATTTATTGTTTTCTCTAATATTCATGCAGTTTCAGGTTTTTACGGGGCTATTATGTTTTTATAAACAAGACAAAACCAAGAAGTACCTGATACATGGGACATGTATGGACGTTCGCTGATAAGTGGCATATTAGTTTAAACGTTTGTTACTCACGATCAGTTTCATGGATACGCTAGATGAGTGACATATCATAAAAATGGTTATGGACAAATTGTTGACACCTATCGCTTATTTCCTTAAACTTGCATGTTTTAGATTTCTGACTCGATCAGTCACATAAGTCTGACTTGGATACGTAATATTGGGCCATTTCCGAAACACAAATGAGCAATTCCCGATCCAAGAATATTTATCAAATCTTGGTCATGTGTTTTGTACACACAGATTTATTTTGTATAACATTTAATATGATTCTTTCATAAAGCTGAAATCTGCAATAAAATTATCAAAATCTTATGTCACTGGTCCTCCTTTGAGTTCATAAACACCGTCAGTGATTCCAAGCAATGAGTTTATGTAATAATATATAAAATACATGTTAAGGAATTATATGTATGTTCCATATGCAGTTGATGTATGCATCCATACTGCAGGTCCTATATTTCATGCAGTGTGGTGTTTCAGTATATAGGCTGGGCGCCAACATGGACAATCACACGGCTGTATAACTGAAGACATGGGAATGAAAATTAAATTTTCAGAGATCTGTATTGTTATTATGATTTTTATTATCATCATTTTCACTAACGGGATCCGGTGGTCATACTTTCTGACTTAGTTGACCCTTGTCTTCGTATCCCAATTGCGTAGTTTGATGCTATTAATAATATTGTCTGGTCCAGACGCGATTATTCCACAACCATCGTGTTATAGCAGAGTGAACCTTCAAACAACAAACAAAAACGAAGATTACAACTTCATGGATAACAACTTCCTGATTATTGCAGTGATTCTTGCAAAGAAACAAATTTAACAAATTAAAAGAAACAAACAAAATTATACAAAGGCATCGTTACTATTATTATTTACAGATAAAATACGATAATATTATCGATGTTGGCATCTGTCACAAACACGTTAAATTGTTAGTCAATTGTTAGTGGAAGGACGTTGCATATCTGATTTTTATTGAACCTTATTACAGATTTAAACAATGTAAACCCATTTATCTCGATCATAGATATCCGAAAACGATATTTACTTGACACTGTAGTGTCCGACATACCGATATCTTCTTTGAAGGGACGCAGTAGAGTTTTAACTGCCCACAATACTTAAATAAACAACTGCATTGTGCAGTAGAGATGCCTTTACTTTTGTTTAATGTGGGCAGGTAGGTATTTTTAATCAGTATATGAGGAGCTTTTTAATCCGGAAACTTGTTTGTCAGAACAGCATTTGCGAATAGGGAAGTGTCCATCCAAATCACGGTTTCTACTGCATATAAAGTTTTTGAAACAATTTAGTTTAAACTAAACGATACAGAAGACACTAGCTGATGAGTACATGAAATAGAAATGTATAAACAGATGAACAAAAATGAACATAAACTGAGGTACATGTGCAACACAAAGAGTAGCATGCAGAAGCATCCGTGAAAATACATTTCAAAGCATATACACATACATAAATCGAACTTAAATGCATAAAGGCATACTTGAAAACGCAGATTAACGCCTTAACTTCGGCTCACATAAAAACAAATTTATAACCCCACCAGAGGCAAGCGTAAAGAAAACAAAATTTAAAGGTCACATGCAACCAAAAAATCAAACATAATTAAAACACAATTATCACTTATTCATGACATATAATCTACATTGCTGGTTATGAAAAAATATATAAACAAAATCATAAGCGTACAATCGCAAATCGAAAGTGCAAAATTGTGTACTTCGGTTTACTTCCAAAGAAACGAAGCAGCCGGGATACCGAACCCAGTCAGAGCGGGTGGGTGTGCACTCAAGTGTAACGGCTGGTTCATTTGCAGATGCCTTCACGGCTAATTGTGTGTATATACTAGTATATATAGAGATGTTGGGTTTTGTAAATACATGCTCATTTTTTTGTGTGTAACATTTTGCAATCAACAGACATCATAACATGTCATGTGTTCAAGTATCACACCTGCCTGTCTGTGTAATTACATAATGTGACAGAGACCGAACTTGGGCCATAAATCAATGCATTTTGTTTATGGTGTATAGCCTGATTGGTGTTAAGTTCAAATTGCATGTGGTCAGTGATAGCAGCTGTGTATTGAATATTGTCATTAGCAGACAGGCAGGCAATCACACAGGTGTCAATAAAACAAGACATTGAGTTTTGTCTGTGACAACGACATATCTATATCACAGTTAGAAATTCTGTCAACGCTAAATAATGACATTGCTTTTAAGTATCGAACTGAGAAAGTGTCTCGGTAAGAAGAACGTGTGGTGAAATAGACAAATGAAATTATATAAACAGTTAATTTACTGTCATAACATATAAAAAGCTCGCGCCTGTGAGATATCAACAAAACATTAGAAAAATAGCTCACACCAAAGCCTTCACCGAGTATTCACCCGACAACCCGCTTCCAAGCTGCGCGAACCTATTTACTTGCGCACGTGCTATGAGCGCAGCCCAGCTGTTGAAACCCGTTTTCCCCAGAAAAGTCTGGGGAAAATTAGTGAAACGTTTGAACTCCGATTTCGCGCGTTTTTTTTCATCGCGTTATTTTTCAACTTTATAAGTTGAATTTGCATTTTTGACGATTTGTTTCGGTAAGTCCATACCGAAAGGTATCGGAATCTGCAAAGTTGTGTTTTACGTTGCATGTGCCCTTTAAACGTTACACATATGTTCACGTGAAAAGACAAATGTAAAGCGTATGTAGATGTTTATTTGAAACACGAATATTAAGCGTATGCCGAACTATAGTATACATGTAAGCAGTCACTGTGGCATACGTAAACCAGAAAACTCTTTTGATTTTGGAGAGGAAGCTATATGTTGTATTACCTGAAATGTCATTGTAGGAGCACAAAGGTTACGTGTGCAATTCGGTGAGCTAAATGCCATTACGAAAGGATCCCATGCGAGTTATTAACACAAAGCAATCAATGTAGAAAATAAGCTCCATACATAACACATCAAAGAACAGTCCAGGTGTTTCAGAAATACGGCTCATCTGGAGATTTGTTAGAAGATTTAAGGACAACCCAAACAAAGGTCTTCCAACAAAAGACTGATTTTTTCTGAAAACAATCTTTTCTAATAACCTGCAGTTACTAACTTGCCCAAAACACTAGAAAACTATATGTGACATTTCTTAATAACAAAGAGTCCATAAGGGTTATTTGTTATAACAAGAATAAAACTCCCTACATAATTATCAGGTCCATGCCAGGGTCGACTAAAATGACAAACTATAGATTCTTACAAGTACATCGAATAAATTGTCCGAAACTACCATATCGGATATCCTCCGAAGTTCAGGTACCCTGGTTGCTGTGCTCTCACCCGTGGCAGTACGAACACGTAAATGTAGTACCCGGATGTACCGATATTGGGCTGCAGTGGTGACTGAGCTCTGCCCGTACGAGGACGGTCATTTGTTATACCTGTTTGGGTTGTAACGAGCTGCAAGCCGTGATATTGTGCTCAGACTAACATTCAGACGCCTGGCAACAGAAGATTGGTAATCTCCAGCGTGAATTCATTCAATGGCGATGTTCCGTGTTGCAGAGTCATGACGTAGCGTAGTGATTTGACCTTGAAACTCCTTCAAAACGAATGCCGATTTCCGAAAGTAATCTAGATTTTTATAGCCAGACAGTGCATGCTCTTTGCTGCACAATTTCAACTGCAATGTGATTTCGTTTGCCTTGTGGCGATGTCTTTTTAATCCTTATAAGAAATCTCATCAAAATCAACATTTTCAGGAAAAGTCGATTTTTTTCACTTGTGCAATTGTGTAAAATCATGTTATCAACACTTTTGTCACATATTTTGACGATTGTTTGAACACAAAAGGTAATTAATAGATTTTTTAAAATACAAAACGCCTATGCGTTTCTTTTTTGGGATAGTATATAATTGAAACCCCATTTTAATTACACTGCGTTTTAAACATTATTTTTCAGTTAATCATTCCAACAGTTTGTACAGTTTGCGTGTTATCATCATAGCGTGGACACTTGCCAGTGCGTTAAACCTATGGTTGGTTGTACGCTGCCACTACAGTATGGCCCGTTTGTATGTGCCCACGTGTGTGTATGGGTCTGTATGTTGCGTGTAACATGTAAGTGTACATGTCTTTGTGTTAAAGGTCGCACTCGAGGATTGAATATACAATCTGGTGACTCATATTGTGACCTCACACCGACGTTACACGTTGACACGCCATCAACCATGTCACGAGTATGTCCATCCAAACCATTAATTCACTCCTTGCGGTCAGCAGAGGTTGTTTAAGGCCATTTCTAATCTGACCACCTCACGGCAGAGACTTCTAAAGAATGCACAATGTTCATAAAGTCAAGGCTTGTATTATTTCATAGGAGGATAAGACATTGCTTTCAGTAGTATATCAACTATAGTTCCTCTCATGGGACCAGAAAGGGGATTGGGTGAATGGACAGTATGAGCTGGCTTTGAGTGTGCTATCAAACGCCAATGGCATTGTTCGATGCCCACTCAATGTAACGACTATTTACTTGGTTCGGCCTGGATTATTAAAATCCCAATGTTGTACGCGTAAAACCTGCATCGCCGCACGCGTTCCTCACTCAGGTACGCTAACTAACATGCCGTTGAATAGTAACGTTAATAAAAGTGACAAAACCCTTTCCACATCTATAAACCAAACTCACACACACTACCATATGGAATGCAACCGCACAACAATTTTACAATGGTTTTCTTAATAATGCACAAATGATAACGTCACACTATGGTACAACGAAAGACTCTCCCACCGTAAAATGTCACAGGTCTACGCGCAGTGCGAGATATCCCGAGACTATCAGACACGATCAGTGACTGAGACGACAGACGAGCGATTGCAAACCAGCATTGACCGAATAAATAAAATTGTTGTTGAGCTTATCCTCGGACGGATAGGTCCCCGGGGAAATCAGCTTTCTTGTCCCTTTATGATGTCGTCGACAGTGAAACAGACTAGCTTGGGTGAATATTTATCGACACGCAGTTGATACATGTAGCTACTGACAGCAGTAATTCCTTTTATTCTGAAGCTTAAGGCATCACGAATACCGTAGTATATTCGTCGTTTCTTAATACATAAAAATGTGGAAGAACTGTAAAAGGATTCAGTGAAGTGTATGTGGTATTCTCATATTATCCTGCCATTGGATGTCTGACATTGCTGACATTGAAACATCCGGTGTTGGCTTGAAATAGCGTCTTATAAAAGGTATTTTTAGCAAAGCTCACTGAGATTTTCACG